GGCGCCTTCCAATGCCCACATATCAGCACACACCTCAAAACACGCTGAAGGCCTGCCGATGAGGGCCCCTTCGCCCGAGAGCCCCCACGGACCGTTGCAAAGGACCGCCACGCCTAAGAGCACGATCGGGGTCCTCCAAGACAGGACATCCCTTGGAAACGAAACTCAACTCCGACGCACGAGGGCACACGGCATAGTTCTCAGGGAGAGGGCCAGACACATGTTGCGAAGTGTGCTCGAGAGTGGCGTCCCTGGCATCAGGTGGAGGCTGCCATGCATAGCCAAGTCCAAGTGGTACGGCCAGGTGTGGTCTGGCCCATAAGCATTCGGAAGGGCAGCCGCACTCAATCTACGAAGAGCTTCCGCTCAGAGGACCTCACCAGAAAGAGAGACACGCAATCTGGAATGAGTCTTGAACGGGGAGTCCGCCGCCGTGCGAACCTTGAGGTATGGTGCCAGGGACCTGGAGCAGGCAACGTTGGCAATCATGACCTGGCCAACATCACATGTATCTTATGGCCTTCGGCCCATGCTGCCACCGTTCCTGGGTTGTGGGTCATAGGCCTCTAGGATGTTTGTTGGGATGTCAAAGGAGGCCTCTCGGGGGCCTCTTGGGGGCCCCTTTGAAGCCTCTTGGGGGGCCGTTTTGGGGCTTCTAGGGGCGTCTTCTGGGCCTCTCGTGGGCCTCTTTGGGGCCTCTTGGGGTCCTCTTGGCGCCTCCATGGGGCCCCCCGAAGACTCGGATGTTCGGTTCGGTTTCGTGGGCCCTGCTGGGCTGTCTTGGGCGCCTCTGGGGCCGTCTCGGGGCCGTCGTGGGCCTTGTGGCCCTCTCCTGGGGGCCTCTTGGGCCGTGCTTCGGCGGTCCTGGGGCCTTTCTTGGGCTGTGTTGGGGCGTCGGGAGCTCGAAAAGTCGAGGACCCCCAAATCATTCAACAAAAAGATATGGCAACTCGATGATGTTAGCTTCTCGGAGCCCTTCTGGATGGCTCTCGAGGCTCCCTGGGGGGCGTTTTTCGAATGCCTCTTGGGCCGTCTTGGGGCCTTCTTGGGCGTCTTGGTGCGATCTTGGGACGCCTCCTCGGGGCCCTCTTGGACCGTCTTGGAGGCCTCTCGGGGCCCTCTTGGCCCGTCTTGGGGCCCTCTTGGACCGGAAGGAGTCACGCGAGAAGATGCGCCGGAGCCCAGGGGAAACACGGGAAGCCCCAGGAGATTTGAGAATTATGGTCGGGGCCTTTTGAAGACTTCTCAGGAGTGAGGACTGAGGCTTAGAGGATTAGGCAAAGGACCTGAGTGCACTCCCACTCCGCTCCCAGTGGCACGGTGGCGGATATTCAACATTCTCAGGAACACATGCTCTAGACCAGGTAAGTTCCAAGAACCCCGCCTCAAACAAAGTATCAGGACGCATGTTAAAATCACCTAGCAACGCCTAGGGAAAACTCAGGGAGTTAGTGAATTATCTGCCGTAACCGAACCAGGTTCTCGCCCGCCGCAATGGAGGAACACACCAGACAAGCGATCCTAATGGTAATCGAGAAGTTGTGAAGCTTGAGCTCCAGGAAGAGTCAGCAGGCCCCGGGGACCACATTGACATCTCCGGACGCGCCAGAGAAAACGCTGGCACCACAAACTTTTTGACACAACGCGGCGACCCCCCCATGGGTACCCCCACCTGGGGAGTCGAGTGCCGCCCGAATTCGAGGATTCCAACCCATCACGCTTGAATCTTGCTTGGGCTTGTGAACACCCTCATGCCGAAGGTGGTGCTCAGCCATGAAGACGCCGTCCATGGCTGAGATATTCTTGGAGGGGTACCCTTTGGTGAGATCAGACCAGCTCGCCACGTTGCACCTTTGGCGCGCCTCCTCCTGGGGCGCCCCTGTGGCGCGCTAAACTGGCTGTGGTGAAGTTCCACTCCCGCAGCCTGCTGCTGGGCTTGCAGCTGGAAGGCCGCCGCCTGACAGAAAGCCACGAAAGCGTGATTGGCCTGCTCTCGCACCACTTTCTTCGCACGCTTGCTCGGGCCAGCGCGGCCCGCAAAACAGTACTCAATACCGCTCCGCGGCCTGCTGTTCCAAGCCTGACTCAGCTGCGCGCTTGCGCAGCTCACGCAGCTCACGCAGCTCACCGTGCTCACCATCAGGCAGATCAGGACCCCCAGCCTCGCTGGCCGCCTCGGAGCCAATCTCGAAGCCGCACTTGGCGGAGCGCTGCTGGACCGCGACTCGGCGCACCTCGACCCACTGCTCAGGGGCAAGACGCGACCGACCACGAGAGCAAGCAAGCTCAGGCTCCGGCAGGCTCGCGCAGACGCTCGTGTGCCCAACGACGGTCCACGCTGCCGCGCTCAGGCGTGGGGGCCCCTGGAGGGCCAGCGGGCGCTTCGGCGCGCCCGGCGCGGGGGCGGCGGCCGCCGCAGGCTCTGCCGCCTGCGCCGAGGGCGGGCTGCGGCCTCGACCTCCCCGAAGCTGGCGAGGACCCTGGACGCACTGGGTCTAGTGGGGCCTTGCTGCGTGACGTGTGCCAGACCCGGCGTGGCGATCCTTGACGAACCAACAACACACACCCATATCCATAGGGGGGTCGGAGAGGGCTATGGGTGCGTGTTGTCGGATGGGGGTCCCCGCTCGAACGGGAGCGTTCCCCAGGGTCCGACAACCCGCACCCATACCCATAGCCAGTCCTCCTCCCAACGACCCCCCTATGGGTATGGGTGTGTGTGTGTGTGTTGTTCGTTCGTCAAAGGGGGGGGAGCGGCGTGGATCCAAGAAATCCGCCCGAAAAACGCCAAAAGTTTACGTTTGTGGTGTTTTTGTGTCGTTCTCTTTTGTATGCCCGTACAATCAGCCCGCTCAGGAAGTGTGCGCACTCGTGCAAGGTTCCCGCTGCATCCTTCCCCGATGGGCATGGGTGTGTGTTGCTCGTTCGCCAATATCCTGGCCCATCCTTGGGGCTCCGGGGCTCTGGCCCCTCCTTGGGGGCTCTGCTCCCCGTCGCGGAGCTGCTGCCGAAGCTGGCCCTCGTCGAGGGCGTGGCGATCCTGGCCCATCCCTGGGGCTCCGGGGCTCTGGTCCATCCTTGGGGCTCTGCTCCTCGCCGCGGAGCTGCTGCCGCAGCGGGCCCCCGGCGAGGTCGGCTCCCTCTCGCCGCCGGCCACGCGCGGCGCCCCCCCCCCGGCGGCCTCCGCGCGCCACCCCCGCGGCGCCTGCCCGCGGCGCCCCGCTCTTCCTCCTCCTCCTCCTCCTCCTCCTCCTCCTCCTCCTCCTCCTCCTCCTCCCCCTCCTCCTCCTCCTCCTCCTCCTCCTCCTCCTCCTCCTCCTGCCTGAAGGCCGGCGGCTCGCGCTGCCGCAGGACCGCCTCGTGCCGCGGCTGCGCAGGTGTCGACTGCAGTCGAGGCGTTGACCTGAGGAACCCTAAGTAAGGAGCGAGGCGCCTTTTTCCCATAAGTCCAACCTCGATTTCCGATCGAAAACATGGGGAAAACCTGAGGCAAGCTGCGAAACACGCAAGGAACGCGGAGCCCCTCCCCAACGGAAAGGGTTCCTTCTTCAGGGCCCCGACTATAGAAGCCCGGGGGACTTCTGAGCAGGCACGCCCCCTCGCACTTCCCCCCCCGGCTCGCCGCCTAGGCGGGCGGCTCACGGGGCGGCGATTCCAGCACCACGGTCCCTGCATCTTCGGCTGTCTTGCCGACGATCCCCTCGAACACTGTTCCCGGTGCCCGGTCGTGCCTGGCCTTCCCCCGCCCTGCCTCCTTCGACTGGACGTAAGAGTGACCTTTCGCCGGAGTGACTTTTGGTGCGGGCGCAGATGAGCCCTCAGATGGCTGAAAACGAAGCGGCAGCAGCGGCTTGCGCGCCCAGGTTTGGTCTCCCCGCGGCCCCCAGAAAGCCGCGCACCAAGGGTCACTCTTACCCAGGGCCACTCTTGCGTGTAGCCGCATGTGAGACTGGGCCACGCGCTCCTTCCTGCCGGCCTCCTCCACGACGCGGGACAGCTCGCGAGCAGGTGTGCAGAGGGGGTGCGCGCCAGAGATCCGCACGCCGCGCCGCCAGACCCGGCAGAGGTCTCGCCCTTCCCCCTCCGCGCACGGGGGAAGGCAGATCGAAGACCACATGGCTTTGACCGCAGGTGGCCTTACCAGCCTGGAACATATCCCTATCCCTATGCTGGGCATCTCCTCATCACGATGCCAATCTTAGGGATTCCCTTATTTTTTGAGAGCGAATCCCTAAGATTGTCATCGCCTTTTGGCGTGTCAATCTTAGGGATAGGGATAAGTTCGAGGCTGATAATGGCCACGTGCCTCCTGCGAGGCCGCATGCACCATGCTGCCTGGTCGCCCCGCGGGCTCCCCCGTTGGAGTTGGCGCCCGGCTCGGCACAGAGCCGGCCAGGAGGTGCGCTGATCGGAGGCGTCGGTGTACGTCGCAGTCGTACGGAAGGCCACAGGGCAGCTCAGACCTCACCGACACGCCATACACAGGCGCCGTGTCTGCGGCGTGGGTTTGCAGGCGGCAGGGTTGGCACTCCAACGATCGCTGCAGGTCAGATCTCTCATCGTCGCTGCCGTCTGCTCCAACGAGTCATCTGCCACTTGGGCGCTGGCGTACTTGAAGAGGGCCGTCCTTCTCATCCCTTTCGCGAGAGAGAGAGAGAGCGAGAGAGAGATCTATATATATATATATAAGGAGAGAGAGAGAGAGAGAGAGAGAGAAAAAGAAAGAGCGATAGATAGAGAGAGAGGGATGAGAGGGAGAAGGAGGAGGAGAAGAGATGAGGCCCTACCCGCGAGAAGGAGAGCGAGAGAGAGATGAGAGGAATAGGGGAGATATGAGGAGAGAGGAGCAAGGGATGACTTCAAGTCCTCCCTCCTCCTCGTCGTCCTCTGCACTGAGAATCCGCCGATGAGGGCAGAGGCCGCGCTCCTTACCCGAGCCCAAGCAAGAGCTGATCTTCGACTGGTGACGAGGCTCAGAGCCACCCAGGCCAGGGGGGCAGTGGACCTCCACATCCGCGAGGGCGAGCTCGAGGCGCTACCCGGGAAGGCGCCCGCCCGGCCATTGCTGTGCCCCTCCTCAGAGAATGACGCCTGCTGCTGCCGGAGGGCGCTGGGAGTGCGATGCCCCTCCTCGGGTTCCTGCTTGGTGCAGCCTGCCTGACTCTGGATGGGACAAGACAGGGCAAGCCCTTCTTCTGTCCGGGCCGATGCCGCCTGTTCTCGCCTGCGCCCCCTTGGGAAGACCGAGTGGGCAGTTCCGCCCTCCTGCCTCTGGCCTGCTGCTGCTGTCGCACTCCGACGGCGCCCCAGGACAGAGGACGGCGGCGGCGGCGACTGCGACGACGACGACGACGACGACGACGACGACGACGACGACGACGACGACGACGACGACGACGACGTCACGGGCCGAAGAGGCGGCCAGAGGAGGCTCCGGACGGGCGGGCGAGCGACGACGACGGGGGCGGCGACGGCGCGGGGCCCGCAGAGAGACGACGGCGAGGCCGGGCGAGCCCGGGGCCGCCGCACGCCCGAGAGGTGCTGCTCTTCCGGATCCCCGGCCCCCTCGCCAGGGGCTGCTGCTACAGGACTGCCGCGGGGCCCCCGGGGCGCGGCCTGAGAACGGGGCCCGGGGCGGCTTCGAGGCTCGAGGGTCGAGGCGGCTTTTTCTGGCGCTCTGTGCCGAAGCAGTGGGCAGTGCTTGCGCTGCGAGGCTCTTCGTGCGACGTCACCACGTGGGCTCTCCGGGCTTTCCTCCGGGGCCTGGCAAATGGGCGCCTCGTGGGCGCCTCGGGTGCTGGCTGGGCTGCCCGGGCTTTCTCCCACTGCCCGCCTGTGGGAGCCTCGCGTGGTGGCTGGCGTTTCCAGATATCGGGGGTGGACAGAACCCCCAACAGTGACACGTCGATTAGTGAATTGTCCGTTTTCGGCTCTCGAGAGGGCGCCGTGGCCGTTATTTTCCAGGCTTGCGCCCGCCAGGTTTGGGCCTCAGGTCGTTTTCACTAAACCACGTTTTGCTAAAGGGGGGTGTGTCCATCCCCGAAGATAGAACGCGAGCGGCGAACATATCCGCATCCTACGACCCGCGCGGGGCGTCCGCGAACAAAAAACGCCTCGTATCCGCGGGGTCGCGGCGTAGGGGCCCCCGGTCCGCCATGCCGTGGGTACGGATCTGTGCGTCGCCCATGGTTCGGATTCTTTTTTCTCGCAGCCTGAGTGGGGTTCTTGTCTTCCTTTTAGTCTCCTCGCTATTCCTCTCAAGCTTTTCCTCCCCCTCCTCCTCGTCCCCCTCCTCCTCCTCCTCCTCCTCCTCCCCAGCCTCCCCATGCAAGCTCCAGACCCCCTCATGCAAGCTCCACATCCAACCCCTCTTGCAAGTTTCACCATTCCACCAATCCGTCGGGTACCGTAGTGTTTATCAGGTACCATAGTGCTTACCAGCAGCAGGGTATAGGAGCACCACATCAGTTACCAGGCTTCTTGCCTCCTCCACCCCTCCAGTAGCACAGATTCTACTGCGTGGGCTATAAGAACCCCGCGTTATTTATCAGGGATCGTGCCCTACCCCCTTCACCAGCCTCTTCGTTAGCACAGCCTCTACCTCCAGGGAGGCCGTGTCGGACTGCGCGGACTATGCGAACCCCGTGTTGTTTCCCAGGGATCCTGCCCTTTCCCCTCCACCAGCCTCACCAGTAGGTCATAGTCTACCTCCAGGGAGGCCTCATGGGAGCTCTGGGGGACCTCTTGAAGCCATTGTGCAGAACGTCGAATCCGGAACCGAATTATTGATTGAGGCCTTCGTGTGAAATTCGTATTCCTTCTGGACGGCTCTTAGCTTGTTGAGAGCACTTGGAGCCATCATCAGGCCGTTTTGAAGTCTCTTGAAAGTGCGTAGAGTTTTCTGGAAGTCTGTCAGACTGAGTGGCGCCGTTTTGGAAATTATCTCGAGCTATCTTCGTTCTTCTGGGAGCTGTCTCAGGCCATACTGGGATCTCTGACACCTCGCGGGAGCTCCCTGTAGACCCAGGTGAGAAGTTCGCCCCCTACAGCAAAAACAGCAAAAGGGGGAAATTCTAGGGTTTGATGGGAGTGCGTCCTCATCATCCGTCCTCTTCCTCCTTGCTGCTTCTCCTCCTTTCCTTCATTTGCCCTTCCATGCGTGCGTCTCACAAGCATGAGCTTCTCGGTCATATTGCTGTTGTTATGTCCCGTTGAGTTCGCGAAGCTTTTAACCTTCTCATGTGGAGAACTCCGACAGCACGATACTGATATTCCACACCCTGCCGAGGCCGATCTTGTTACTCTGGAGGCGCGTGGTTGCTTATATTTGTAATGCATGTACTCTTCCCTGACCAAACATAGAATGCGGTGCATTTGCATTCATGTGAGAAGTGCTTTCTGTTCCAATCCCTGCGCGCCAACGTGTGGTTTGTTCAGACAGTTTGCAGGCATGGCTATTCAACACCTGCGGAAAGACCATCCGTTGTTTGTTTTCTGTTGGAGCGTTTCCTAAATTTCTGCGTGCGCGTTCGCAGAAGTCATAAGAACGACACAGGCTGTCTAACGGGACCATGCTGGCTACACGGGCGCGCATGTCGAACACGTTCAACTACCACCGCGCGCCCGCCAACCCTGACAAACGATGCATTGCGAGCCACACGCGCGCGTGTCCGCGCGCGCGCTCGTTGCATCCTGCAACAACTATTGTTCTTACACTGTACGTCAACACATGTTTACGCAGAACACATTCTGAAACCCAGTGGTGTTCGATAGCACTGCTGCAGAATTCTGAATGTCTGCGAGCGCCCCTTTCGTCACATTCTCATCAGCGCCTTTAGTATCATCATCGCTAGCCCCCTCATTACCATCGTCATCGTAGTTACCATGATCTTCACCGTCGTCGCCGTCGTCATCATCACCGCCGCCGCCAGCATGGTCGTCGTCGGTGTCGTCGGCCTTGTCAAGTTTCTACGCGCGCGACTTGCCTCATCATTCGCACCAGCACAATCACCATCATCATCGCCAATGTCATCATTGCCACTGTACTTATCATCACCATCAGCTTGATCACCATCGTCGTCGTTGACGTCTCAGCCACCATCGTCATGACACATAGTGGGCGTCGCATGGATTTCGCCACCAAGATTGCACTTTAACTACACGCGCAACGGTGATTGCACGTCTAACCCCCAGCGTATTGTTCATTTTCAGTATGCGCGGCCTTCCATTCTGAATATACGGAAGCGCCATTTCCGCCAACCTGGTATCGTCTCCTGCCAACACTGTCAAACCATACCATGCAGTGTACACGTGTCGATCTACATGCGTCTTGTCAGATTCGCTCTCGAATGGTTGCCATAAACGAACAACTCCCTTGTCAAGTTCCCCCCCCCGCTCCGCGGCGCGGAGGGACACGCTATCCGCTCGCAGGGCATAGCATGTCGCTGGGTTCCCCGCCGCGACGCGCTACGCAAGAGTTCCCGACCGTGATCGGGCCCTGGGGGCCAAGGGCGTAACATCCGTGATCCACCGCCCGCCGCAGCCCCCGAAGACCGACCCCCTAGGCGGTTCATGGATGAGCCCCCGCCTCTCGGACCAGACGACAGGGCAGGATAGGGAAGGGGGGGGAGCTACGAAATCTGCGGCATGCAGCTGGCTTCGACCCCGCCGCCGGGCCCACTCCTCGACACGTGGGGCGCCTCCTGGCGCCAAGGGGCGCCTCCTGGCGCCAAGGGGCGCCAAGGGGTTCTTTGCTATCCGACCCCTTGTCCAAGGGCGGAACAACCACCCGGACCCGACACTTGGCGTGTCCCAAACGGCCTTCCGGACCCGATACCTGGCGTGTATTCAACGGCCTCCAACGGCCCCACCCTGTTCGATTCCCGTGGGTGCGCTCACCGGACGGCCTCGCGCGTCGGGGTGCTTGGTGTGAGGGTGGCCGTTCTGCTCTCCGCTTCCGCCCCCCCCCCCCCCCCCCCCCCCGCGCCTCGCAGCCCCGCCTCGCAGCCCCGCGGCCGCGCCCGGGCTCCCCGCGAGGACGCGGGTGCGTGCCTCCGCGGTGGCGGCGCTGGACGGGGAGCGGGGCCTCTGCCCGGGCCTCGGCGCGGGCCCGCCCGCCGGCCGCGGGGCGCCGCCGCCGCCGCGCCGCCGACGGGGGCGGCGAGGAAGGCGCCCCGGCCTCCTCGCCTCCTCGGCGGCCCCGGCGCCTCGGGGGCGGCCCCGGGAAGGCCCTGCGAGGTCGCCTCGGGGACGGCCCAAAGAAGGCTGCGGGCACGGCCCCGAGAGGTTCGGCCCAGGAGGGCCCCGAGAGGACGGCCCGAGAGGTGCCCAGAGCCGGCCCCCAGAGGGGTCCGCGAGGGCTCCGCGAGGAGGACCATGGAGCGAGCACCCGAGCTCCCCGCCGCGAGCGGCGGAGAGGGGGGGGGGGGGCGGGGGCGACGGGGGGATCCTTACCAGCCTGGAGCGTATCCCTATCCCTATGCTGGGCACCTCCTCATCACGATGCCAATCTTAGAGACTCCCTTATTTTTTGAGGGCGACTCCCCAAGATTGTCATGGCATTTTTGGCGTGTCGATCTTAGGGATAGGGATACGTTCGAGGCTGGTAAGATCCCAACACCCGGAGGCTCCAAAGCAGCGAGCCCGTGGATCGGCGGCCAGGTGCCGCGGCGTGGGGCAGAGGGGCGAGTCCCGACCTCGTCCGACAGGCACGCCCAGAGATAAGTCGGGCGTGTTCATCTGCAGGAGGAGGAATTATCAAACATGGTCAAACAACTTACCAGCCTCGAACGTATCCCTATCCCTGAGATTGACACGCCCAAAGGCGATGACAATCTTAGGGAGTCGCCCTCAAAAAATAAGGTAATCCCTAAGATTGGCATCGTGATGAGGAGGTGCCCAGCATAGGGACAGGGATAAGTTCCAGGCTCGTAAACAAATGGTCTGGGGAAGATGTTTGTTTGAACCAGGTTTTTTTGTTGTTGGATACGTGTTGCTTCTTTCTCTTGGGGGGGGGTATTTTTGATGGTTCGTCCAACATCTGCCTGTAGGGGGACATGCCCGACCAAGCCCAGAGCCAGTTGAACTGTCGCGCCGGCTCCCCTGCTGGCGGATCGCCCTGCCTCGCGGCCGCAGGCGCCCCTCCCCACCCCCCACGGGCGCGGGAAGTTCTGCACGGAGCGGCCCTGCTTCCACGTGTGCCTCTGGGCAGCCCCGGCGCGCACCTCTTGCGACGGTCGGCGGCGAGCGAGGGGGGGAACTCGGGGGCGGAAAAGAGGGGGGTGATAACTAGGGGGGGTGGATATCATGGCGGGGGCCATGATATCTCCCCAGATTTCATGGCGCCTCTTCTTGTTTCAATGCGTCCCTGGCCCCCCCGCTGGGCCGCGCACATGCCGCAGGCCATGATTTGCACCCCCCCCTCTTGGACGCCCCCCTCTTTGCCGGCCCCGAGGAACTGAGGAGGAGAAGGCCTTCTCGGGAGGCGGCGGGACTTCTCAGGAGCCCCCGCGCCTTCTGAGAAGTCCTTTCTGTCTGTCTTCGGGGGAAGGCTCAGAACACTTCTCAGAAGCCCGGGGGACTTCTGAGAAGGCACGCCCCCTCTCACTTCCCCCCCTGGCTCGCCGCCTAAACGGGCAGCTCACAGGGCGGCGATTCCAGCACCGTGGTCCCTGCATCTTCGGCTGTCCTGCCGACGATCCCCTCGAACACTGTTTCAAGTGCCCGGTCGTGCCTGGCCTTCCCTCGACCTGCCTCCTTCGACTAGACGTAAGAGTGACCTTTCGCCGGAGTGACCTTTGGTGCGGGCACAGATGGGCCCTCAGATGGCTGAAAACGAAGCGGTAGCAGGGGCTTGCGCGCCCAGGTTTGGTCTCCCCGCGGCCCCCCAAGCCGCGCACCAAAGGTCACTCTTACCCAAGGTCACTCTTGCGTGTAGTCGACTCCTCCTCCCCCCCTGGCTGAACGCTTGATGCTTTCGTTCCCTGTGCGTAGTTCTGGTCGGGATCTCTTCGTTCTCGGGGCGACCCACACGGCGGCCGTGCCCCGGATGGGACACTAGCCGCCCCCCCCCTTGAATCCGCTGGGGGGGTTGGGCACGTGCTGTCGAAACGGGTGGAGGGAGGGTTCTAGGAAGAGGAGGATGACGATGGCATGATCGGACAAGAACCGCGACGGGAGGATGGAGGGGGGCGGGATTGGGCAAGCTCAGTCGGAAGGTTCATCGCCCCCCCGCTTGATAAATACCATGCCCAGAGTATATATATACATATCTGAGGTGAGGGGGTGAGATCGAAGTGGAATGGAGAGCCCCCCTACCGGGAAATCGGTTTCGGTTTCGTGTTCGTGCGTGCCGTGCGTGCGGGCGAGACGAAGCTGCGTGGGCGGGCGAGAGGAAAGTTTCCTTTGGCTGAGGCGCGGCTGGACCAAATGACTCCCTTCCGGCAACCGGTGGCCCGCGGTGTCCCGCCGGTGTCCCGCTGTGGCTGAGGCGCGGCCGGACCAAATTACTCCCTTCCGGCGTCCGGTGGCCCGCGGTGTCCCGCCGGTGTCCCGTCGGTGTCCCGTCGGTGTCCCGATGATGATGATGATGATGATGATGATGATGATGATGATGATGATGATGATGATGATGCTGATGCTGATGCTGATGCTGATGCTGATGCTGATGCTGATGCTGATGCTGATGATGATGATGATGATGATGCTGATGATGTTGTTGATGATGATGATGGTGATGATGATGGTGATGGTGATGGTGATGATGATGATGATGGCGATTGTGATGGTGATGGTGATGATGATGATGTCGATGATGTTGTTGATGATGATGATGATGATGTGATGGTGGTGATGATGATGGTGTCCCGATGATGATGATGATGATGATGATGATGATGATGATGATGATGATGTTGATGCTGATGCTGATGCTGATGCTGATGCTGATGATGATGATGCTGCTGATGATGTTGTTGATGATGATGATGGTGATGATGATGGTGATGGTGATGGTGATGATGATGATGGCGATTGTGATGGTGATGGTGATGATGATGATGATGATGTCGATGATGTTGTTGATGATGATGATGTGATGGTGGTGATAATGATGGTGTCCCGATGATGATGATGATGATGATGATGATGATGATGTAAACGATGTTGATGATGATAATGATGATTGTGGTGCTGATGATGATGGTGTCCCAATGATGATGATATTGATGATGCTGATGATGATCGTGTCCCGACGATGATGATGACGATGATGGTGTCCCGATGTTGGTTAGGATGGCGATGTTGATGATGAGGATGATGAGGTGATGATGATGATTTTGATGATGGTGGCCCGATGATGGTGATACTGATGCTGCTGATGTTGATGATGATCATGGTGTCCAGATGATGATGATGATGGTGATGATGATGGTGACGATGATGAGGGTGTCCCGATGATGATGATGTTGATGATGGTGGTGTTGCTGATGATGATGATGAAGGTGTCCCGATGGTGGCGATGTTGATGATGTTGTTCATGATGCTGATGAGATGATGGTGATGGTGGTGTTCCGATGATGATGATGACGGTTGTGTCCCGATGACGATGATGGTGATGATGATGATGATGTTGACGATGATGGTGTCCCGATGATGGTGATGGTGATGATGATGTTGATGGTGATGGTGTTGAGGTGATGATGTTGATGGTGTCCTGATGATGGCGATGTTGATGACGTTGATGACGATGATGCTGATAATGATGATTATGGCGGTGATTGTGAGATCGATTGTGATTTCGATAGTGTGATCGATAGTGGGACCGAAGGTGAGATCGATTGTGAAATCGATAGTGAGTTCGATAGTGAGATCGATTGTGAGATCGATAGTCAGATTGATTGTGAGATCGATCGAGTGAATAGATCGAGTGTGATCGATTGTGAGATCGATCGAGTGAGATCGATCGAGCGAGACCGATAGTGATATCGATAGTAAGCTGATAGTGAGACCAATCGAGTGAGACGTTGCTTCCTCTCCCCCCCGAACCTTCTTATCACCCGAAGGGTGGTCGTATAGGTACATATTTACAATGTAACGATACAGGGCAGACATGTATATATATATATATGTGTAGACATCTATCTATACATATAGATATACATACATTCCATACCCAGGATATATATATATATATACATATATTTATATATGTATATACATACAAATACAGATCGCATTGTCGCTGGCCACGTGCGGACTCCTGCCTGGAGCGGCACTCGCCGCCTCGGCCTCGGGGCAGGGCGGCGCAGGCGGTGCTCCGCGGGCACCCCGCCCGCGCGCACGGTGGCGGCTGCGCGCGCGGCTGCCCGCCCGCCGCCCTGGCCCTGGCGGGCTCGGCCTGTCCTGCTTGCCCCCCCCCCCCCCCCCGGCCTCCTCCTCCAGCTCCTCCTCCTGCTCCTCGACCTCGCCTCCTCCTCCTCCTCCTCCTCCTCGTCCTCCTCCTCCTCCTCCTCCTCCTCTGCTCCGCCTGCTCCGCCAGCTCCGCCTCCTCCTCCAAGTCCTCGTCCTCCTCCTCCTCCTCCTCCTCCAACTCCTCCAACTCCACTCCTCCTCCTCCTCCTCCTCCTCCCCGTCCTCCTCC